GGGGCAGGGGAAGCTGGGGGGGGTTCTGCGATTGTAACAGTGAGATCTGGGTGGAGGGTGCTGTGGGGTGTCGGGCCAGGGGAGCTGGGGCTGTGTGTGGCAGAGGGGCACGCTGGGGTTTTGGGGCCAGAGGAGGTGTGGGAGACCCCCATGTGTGGCGCTGGGGTCAGTGCCTTGTGGGTTGTGAAGGTGAGGCCTCCCCTCACTGCTCTGCCTTAGGTGGGGGCGGGAGGACATATTTCAGCCTGGAGGTGAAAACCCCCCACCCAGCCCTCCTAAGCAAGTAGAAGGGGCCCAAATCTCACTTTTATTTCAGTGTCCTCACAGAGCAACTTCTGCATCTGCAGGAGGGTTCAGGGAGAGAGGTTGGGAATGTGAGGGTAGGGGAGAGGATCTCTGCTTGTTGGGAGCGTAAGGATGGGGGAGAGGATCTCTGCTTGTTGGGAGCGTGAGGATGGGGGAGAGGATCTCCGCTTGTTGGGAGCGTGAGGATGGGGGAGAGGATCTCTGCTTGTTGGGAGCGTGAGGATGGGGGAGAGGATCTCTGCTTAGGGCTGCTACGTTTGTCAGTGTGGGAAGGGAGGTCTTGGGGCTCAAACTGGGTGAAAAAAACCTGCCAAAATAGAATCACCAGGTTCTTGTATAATTCTTCTAGTAATCCTGATGTTAACTTTTTCACCGTTGAATCCTTGTACCAGTAAGAAGCAGGTAATGTGACTTGGGTTTTGTACTTTATTTTTTTTTAGGTAATAATGTACAGTTGAAGTATTTGCCCCAAAAACCCAATTATTTATGTTCCCATCTAGTGAAGAGTGACGTGGCCAGTTTTTAAGCGAGTGGCAGGAAGGAATGGTACCATCTGTCAGTGACAGGACTAGCAGAAAAAGTCACCAGGGTTATTTCTTTCACATAAGGTGTTACTGGCCGTAAAGGCTGCTGCCTTTCAGATGCACTGAGCCCACAGGAGGTGGCTGTACAGTCTGAAAATACTCCGTTGCCTACTGAAAGGAGCGGGGATTTTCAATAAAAATCCTGCAGAATTCTGCAAGGCCTTTCCTCCTCATGGCTTCCTTTGCCTGGAGAAGGCGGGAGCTTTGCCTCTCGCTTCCAAAGGGTGTTATTTTTCAAAAATGAGGTTGGAATCTGCCTCTGTCCTCTTCTCTGCTCCTCACTGGATCGATGCTGTTCCTCAGCAACGAGGTGACAATGCTGACAGCAGAGTTAATCAAAGAAATAATTGCCTATTTTTGTTGGTGAAAAGAATCTGTTGCGTTTTTTAATGTGCTAAACATGACTAAAGGTAAAGCACGTTGATATAATTTGGCGTGGATTACTGCTTTTTCTTTCATCTCCTGCTGCCTGTATAAAAGTTGACAGCTTTTGTCTTCCCTCTCTGTTCGTTACTACAGATAATGACACCAGAGCAGAGTCCAGCGACTTCCCTCATCGACAGGACCATCAGGATGAGGAAGGAGTCTGAAGCCCGGAAAGTGGTCTGGGCCTGGGGGCTGCTCAATGCCTGCGTGGCGGGCATGATCTATGCTGAAATGTGCGTTAGCTGTTACAGCTGCTTCCAACAAAGCAGCTACCTTGTGTACCCCTAAATATTTCCCGGGATGGGATTGTTCCAAGGTGATAATTTGCTTTTCTTTTTAGGACGGGAAAACTGATAAGCTCATATTACAACATCACGTACTGGCCACTCTGGTATATTGGTGAGTCGCTGCGGCGTTTCCATTAATTTCCAGGATTCTTTTCTTTTTTCACTTGTCAGTTTTATCGCCGGGGAAGTCATTTTCAAGCAAGCCTTCTTTTTTTCTTGATTGTTTCTTTATTTTTATTTTGTTTTTTTTTTTAAATTTAAACCAAAACTTTGTTTTGCTTTCTGTTTTCTCTTCTGAAACTGTTGGAGTTTCATCCTTTTTAGTAAGGAGTGTTAACAGCTTTCTTAGATATGTGATGAAAAGGCACGAGAAACTTGCTTGGTGCCTTAAATCTGTTCGATGCGTGGAGAACTGCACATTTGACTGCTGTGTTGCACGGTGGGTGTGGGCGAGCCTTCACGATAGTTAGTTTCGGGGCTTCACAATGATTAAAGTTAGTTTTGGGGGAGTAGACTCTAAGCTAGGGGAGAAAAATCACGAGATGAGTGACAGATGATTTGATGGCAAAGGATTTTTGAGAAATACTGTGCAACTTCGTTGCAGTAGTTTATGTCCCTTTTGGGCAATGAGCGTCCATTTTTGAAAAACTCGGCGTTAGCAAGATAAATGAGTCTCACTGTGGCAAGGAAAATGATCTCCAATGGTTCTTGCATAAAAAGGTGAAGAAATCTTAGAGACTTGCCCGAATTGGTCCTTACTGATGGCACTAATAATGGCCTGGTTTTGATGGGCGCATGCCTGCTTTTGCAAACAACGCGACTTTTATTATTCCCCTTTGCTCAAACCGTGGTAAAAACTTTTTTGTGTTTCTTCTAGAACTGGCGCTCGCGTCTCTGTTCAGCCTGAACGCCCTGTTTGATTTCTGGAGGTACTTCAAGTACACAGTGGCACCGACGAGCCTGGTCATGAGCCCCGGCCAGCAGACCCTGCTGGGGCTGCGGAACGCAGGTGGGTGGAATAAATACCTCTTTTTTTTTTTTTTTTTTTTTTTATTCTTTTTGGGTTTTGTTTTGAGACAATGTGTTTCTCAACGGCAGAGTGCTGTAGTAGAGTGAGTTCTGAATTACCTCGTCTGACCTGAGCGATAAAGGAAATTACTGGCAGCCTGTTAAAATTCATGACAGCAAGTGGTAATTTGATGAGAGTTTGTGGGGAGAAGTGAAGGGGAAACAAACATACATGGTGAAAAAGGACGGGGTGATAGTGGCTGCCAAAGGACGGGGAGAGACTGGGACGTTGTGAGGCTGCACAAGGAATTTATAACCTATACATGGGACTAGGAGCACGGCAGAAAGTGCAGGTTTATCTTTAATTTTGATATCCTGCTAATATCACGCTGGGTAAAACCGAATTAGAGGGACAGACAGACTTTCCTGTGAAGCCTGAAGATGAGCCTAGAGAGCAGTCGCTCTTGAGCATCAAGGCAAAGCTTTAAAATGCAGCAGAACCTGACAAGGTAAATGAGCCAAAAGCAAACTGGTGGCACTAGTGCTCTGCTAGTCTGCCCCTGGAAAACGGGAAGCAGACAGGAGTAATGCTCTGTCACCAAAGTTCAAGGATCTCCTGTGTTTATTTGCACAGAGAAGTTAAGACATTCGATGTGCTAAGGATGCACAAAGCAGTCAGGGGGGGTTAGAGAAGCCCCCCTGGGTTGTGCAAGGTGCTTGGTAACATTTGACTGAAATCTGAAGCTGTAGGGTTTGTACGAGTTGGAGTGGTGTCTCTGTCTTCTGGGGGTTTTTCTTTCCTCCTGTCAGTGGCCTGACTGCTGAGTTCTGTAGGGGCGGGATTGTTTCCAGTGTCTCTTCCAGCATCTTTTTAAAATAGCCTTCAGCTAGCGTTGGGTGTGCACTTGCCCTGCCTTGGAAGCGAGGCGGAGAGCTCGGGGCTGCCCCCTCCGCGCCGCTACTTCTGGTTTCTCCTTCCCGCAGCCGTAGAAACAACGCCGCCCCGTGAGCTGGCAGCCACGGCAGTCCCCTCTTCGACGCCTTCTCCTCCCATCCAGGGTCAAAGCGTGCTGAGCTACAGCCCCTCCCGCTCCCCCAGCGCCAGCCCGAAATTTACTACCGGTTGTCTCACAGGCTACAGCCCTCAGCTACAGGCTCTGTCAAGCAACAGCAGTTCTTACGGCAGCGCTGTCACCTATTCACCAGGCAGCAGCTACAACAAGGTAATGGCCAAGGTGGCTCCCAAGGGTACAGCCCGGTCCTCGTGTTGTGCCAGATGCCGTCGAAGGCGAGCAGCAGCCAGCAGGGAGAGTCTTTGCTCCCTTGGCCAAGCAGATGGAAATTTGTGGTATTGGGGTTTGTCCTTTTTTTCCCTGAGTGGCTTCGCTGGTTTTTGAGTGGCTGGTTTGTTTCTGAATAAAGCAAAAATCCGTTCTGTATAACTCTCCCACTGGCAAAGAAGACTATATGACAGACCTCAAGTCGCTGGACACCTTCCTTCGAAATGAAGAAGAGAAACAACACAGAGTTCAGCTAGGTAGAGAAAAACTGGTTTGTTTGGAAAAGCTTGGGGAGGAGGAGGTGTTGGTTTTCTTCGAGATTGGCTTTTGGGGATGAGAGAAGTTGCCAAGGATCTGTATAACTCTCCCACTGGCAAAGAAGACTATATGACAGACCTCAAGTCGCTGGACACCTTCCTTCGAAATGAAGAAGAGAAACAACACAGAGTTCAGCTAGGTAGAGAAAAACTGGTTTGTTTGGAAAAGCTTGGGGAGGAGGAGGTGTTGGTTTTCTTCGAGATTGGCTTTTGGGGATGAGAGAAGTTGCCAAGGATTCCAGTGTACTCGTGCCAGTGAAAACACCCAACTTGTTTAGGGTAATCACCTGTGAGCTTGGTGAAGGTGGTTGCTGAACAGTTTGGGCTTCTGCTGAGGAATTAAGGCACGAGGTGAGGAATTAAGGCACGAGGTGAGGAATTAAGGCACGAGGTGAGGAATTAAGGCACGAGGTGAGGAATTAAGGCACGAGGTGAGGAATTAAGGCACGAGGTGAGGAATTAAGGCACGAGGTGAGGAATTAAGGCACGAGGTAAAAGGCTGTCGCTTCTACACGTCTCCATGGCGTGGGAGCTTGAGAAAGTTTTCCTCCAAAGTGTTCCTGTGGATGGGACACGTGGTGCTGCCGCTGCAGCGTACGGAATTGTGCGCTGACAGATTCTCTCTGCAGCCTTTGTGGGCTGCAACGGACCGTGGTAGGACGCTGAGGTGGCTTCACCACCTTGATGAGAGGGGGGGTGTCTTGTGGAGAAGGCGTTTCGGATCAAGGGGGGTTGACTTACCCACAGGCGGTTTTTCTCCTGGATGGGGACAGTCGAGACAAGGGTGAAAGCAGTTTGTGCAGAGCGACTTCAGTGGGTGTATTCGTGGTCGTGGGTGTTGGTGTCTCTTGTTAAAGCCTTAAGGCAGCGACCTGTTGTGTCCAGAATGACTTGGCCATACCTGTCCGTGACTGGTTAACGAATGGGTCGTTTCAGGAAGTTCAGATTCCAGCTCTCCTTCCAGCAGCCCAACTTTTTGGAACTACAGCCGCTCCATGGCCGACTACGCGCAGGTGCTGAGGAAGTTCCAGTATCAGCTGGCCTGCAGGCCCCAGGCTCCCTCAGCGCACAAGGACGAAGCGGATCTGAGCTCCAAACAGGCTGCAGAGGAGGTAAATTGGGCAGCAGGGTGGTCGAGAGGGAGAAACAGGCCTCTGAAATAGAAAGGTTTGGGTTTGAGCTGTACCAAAAACGATGGAGAGATTTTCTTTGTTTCCTACATCAACCTAATGAAGCTTTCCATTCAAATACTTCTTAAATCAATCCTAAAATTCAGACCAATTTTATCCAAATAGAGCAGAGAGCTTAAAACTGAATTTGGGCTCACGCCAGACGATGGTACCGTGAACAGAGAGCGCGAGTGTCGTACGTGGAGCTGCTGTGGGAGCCACAAGATACGCCCAGCAGCTGCCTGAGAATTTTGGGAAACCTGTGATTTGAACGATGTGCTGTGGTTAATACCAGAAATTGTCACCAGAAAAACTCTCGATATTCTGTTGTGGACTTAATAAATCTTTCCATAGGTCTGGGCACGGGTGACAATGAACCGGCAGCTCCTTGATCACATGGATTCCTGGACCGCCAAGTTCCGAAACGTGAGTCCCGTCTCCAAGGGCTGCCTGGTTTGTGGGAACCAGAGGGGAAAAGCACCTCCGTGTCCCACCAGAGGAGGAGGGAAGGATTGCAGCGTCTGTCTGAGGACTGGGGAGGGAAAAACACGGTGTGCTTTGAGAGAGAACTGCTGAGATGCTTTTTTGATCTGACCTCAGTGGTTTTTATTCTGAAAACTACATTCATCTACTTTTGAGTGACCAACAAAAGCATCTCGGATGAGACAAGATTTGGTTTCCCTCGCTGTTACTCAGATCGCTGAATTGATGTTTCCACAGTATTTCTTAACTCATTTTCTGGGCTCAAAGCACAGAAAATTCTAACCCGAAGGCATCTGGGTTTTTTTCTGATGGTCCCGAGCAGCGTAATAAAAAGCAAAAAAAAAAATAAAGAAAAAAGCTTAATCTTACCAACAGGAATTGCTGTAGCAAAGGAGACTTAATTGCACACAATGGCAAATGAATTAATCAGTCTAATTCAGTCAGAGCATCCTACCCAGTGTGCAGTTCTGCTTGGGGGTTGTGGGGGTTTTTAGTTTTTAAATGGAATAATAAGTTTGATGGAGAGCGTCCTACCCAGTGTGCAGTTCTGCTTGGGGGTTACGTTTGGATTTTTTTAAATGGAATAATAAGATTGATGGAGAGCAAAGATGAGCATGAGATCCATACCTGATTCCTGAGCCTAGCGCCAGCTTCAGTTCCCAAATCCTGTCACCCACACGGAGTGTTTGTCAGCTCCTTGATTTCCTGAAACAAATGCCAGAGGGAGTGGACTCATCAAAGCATGAATTACCTGTGTGGAGGGAGGGCTGTGCTTCACAACGCTCCTTCCCTCGTTGTTCAGAGAAGCTTTGTCTAATACTTTCTAGAAATTTATTTTCCTGACTCTCCTTTACATTGACTTTTCGGGCCTTTTAGAAGGTACTAATGGGTCGTTTAAACTCTGCCTAACTTGATATTCTCATGGAATTACTTTCCTCCTTGGCTGGCATCAGTGTTGTTGCTGTTGTTAAGCTGCTTTGTGATTGTAACAGTGATGATTAATAGGACATAAGCCAAGGGTGGGGGGGTTTTTAAACATTTTTGTTCTTCCCACCTCTTGAATTTTCACCTTTTTCTTTCCCAGTGGATTAATGAGACTATTCTGGTGCCGCTTGTCCAAGAGATCGAGTCCGTGAGCACTCAGCTGAGAAGAATGGGGTGTCCAGAGCTGCAGATCGGAGGTAGGGTGGGCCTGCTGGGGGCGAGGAGGGCGTTGGTAGGGGGTCTGTGAACCGGGGCTGCACGGACCTCTGCTCCCTTCCCGCCGGCTCTGGGCGTGGTCGGTGTTCCCTGTCCCGCCTTCCGTGAAGCTGGGAGGGTCCTTTGTAAGATTTGGGGAGGTACTGATGCCGGCCCGCTGCTGGTCGTGTCTGCAGTTCATAAATAGCTCTCTCGCCCCCCGCCCCCCTTTTGCCTCCTTC